CATGGCGATCGACGTAGAGCCGGGCTGTTCACCGTGCTTCACTTCCCCCTGTGTCCCGGTTGAATCCCAGCGGTCGACAATTGTCTCTCACGCGGGCTGTCACGTGTACGCGGAGACATAAAGAGAACAATTTTCTCTCCCCCTTCGGACGTGAGGCGAGCTTAATGACAGATTCGCGTGTCCCCGCATTGATTCGGAATTATCACCGCCGCTTACGGTGGGCGCCCCGAGAGGTGCGAAGGAGGTGCGAGGCCGAAGGCAGATTCCCCCGGGGGCGCGGGAGGATTGAGACGAGCGGAGAGACCTGGCGGATTGTTAGATATACCTTCGTCATCGGGAACTTCTGATTTGTTTTAGATCGCGGTTTTACGCATCGATTACTTCAATTATGGGCAGAATTGAGAATGAGAAAACATAAAGGAGAGGCCTGCAATTTTTTTTCCTGAAGACATTTTGTTTTGCGTGTAAGGGCGCTATGCGCTTGCGAGTCTGTTCAGGTGTGCATGTGAGCCAGATTAAGGGCATGTTTGTGTGCCACCTTGTGTGCTAGAGTTTTAGTGTTTCTATCTTGTTATGTTGAAAAACAAAATAGGTTACATTAGATCATGTAGTTTGGGTAGTCCTTTTTAGTCGGAGGTTGTATAAGTGTTTAACTGTATGAACCTCCGAGCTGCGGATTTCTGCACGGGGTATTCATATGTTGCACGATTTTTGTTAAGGATTAGGATTAGGGAGTAAGGAGGCTTGTGTCTTAATATAACATCTTGAAATATGTAATATCATTGCTATATTTTAGAAAGATCCCTGAAGGGCGAAAATGTTTCGACGTATCTGAAATCGTATATCAGATTTATATATTTGATAGAGCCGTATAATTATAAGGGCCTTAAATAAGACCCTTATAATTACGTTTTGCGAGGTGGGTTCTGGGGTGTACGAACAAAGCGAACGATTTTTGTATGCATTATTTTATTTGTTTGGTCCAAAGAAAGTGTCACCCAAACTATTGTAATGGGAATACGTGAGCACAATATGATGAACGTTTGGCGACACACAATATGGGTTGTGCTATGGACATTAACTCTCCATCGGCTTCAAGGATTTGTTTTAAATACCAATAAACAGCCTTTTTCTTCCCTCCCTAATTGATATTTGCATTTCTACTAAAACGAAACTATCATTTTGGGCTTTTTGATTATCACCCATTAGCGATCTACTCGGCAGAGTTGCCGCTTCAACGCGGTAAGTAGCCTATTTTATTTATTTTTAATAAACATTTTGCTTTCTGTGAAAAGTAGGAGATTCCAATGGGTCCCATAAATGCCAGTCTTTCCAGTTTGGCAAAAGTTTTCTGGTTATAATACTTTACTGACATACACCATCATAAAGTTATAATTTAAGAAAAAGCACATTAAAATACTACAAATGTTTGCCACGCAGTTGCCTTTTTTAAATATCAATCATTCACAAACTCCTTTGAAGCCATCTACGTGGCCGAAGTCATTTGTTAAAGCAAATAAATTCTTGCATTATATTTTTTACTTGTGACAAAACAGAACATCTACTCGCGATCGTACATGGAATGCGGTTTAGTGGTCACGATTTCAATTTCAGCTTACCCTTTGGCTGATGTCAGGCACCGTACAAATATTTGTTGGCCTATTCTCTTAATATTAAAGGTAGACGTCTTTTTTCTTATAGGTAGTGCTGAAATAAACACTAAACTTTCTTACGTAATATAGGTATAAAATTCAAACATGTATTAAAAAGGTGTCATGATGGTAATATATTCAGAAAAAGGACGCTGAAGGGTGTCGTCTTCATTCAATTTTTCAAAATTTCTATGTATTTTTTTATTTTTATTCATAAATACTGCGACCTCATGAGGTCGTTGCAGGAGTTTAAAATACAGACACATGAACAAAACGGCACAGTAAAACAATATGCCCTTTAAAGTTATTCACTGAAAATGACATCCATTCAATGAGAAAAAGATTGTTAATTGCACTAATAAAATCAACACTAGAGAGAATGCGTATTTGTCCGTCAATTTCATTCCAGTCATCAATAGTATTCGGAGAAAACAAAGTTTTAAAACAATTTATATGACACAGAAATGGAACAACATTTAATGGACGAGATCGTCTAGTGCACGTAATAGTATAAAAATAAATGTATTTAGTTCGCTCCATGCCGCAGTCGTCATTAACATTTCTGAGGAACATTATGAGCCCATCTATCTTTGGCGTTCAATACAGCTGTTTGATCCCAAGAGATAAAAAAGCGGATGAAGGAGAGAAATCGCGGTCCTACGTATTGAAAGTAAATCTTACAACCTTATCTTTGATAGATTCACTAGATTGACATATTTTTAAGATGTAAATTTGCAAGTGCTCTTGTATGGTGAGTATAATTAGAAACAAATATATAGAAAGGATACATAAATATTAGCATTTGGTAATTTGCTCGATGACTGGTTGGTCTAAGTAATCTTCTTTAAAAATGACTGCAAGAACAAAAAATAGGAAAAATAACGTAAAAATAGAACGCAAGGCCAATGGAACAAGCGACCTAACTCTAAAAAAAACACGCAAAGAAAGAAAAGGAAGATATTTAATATTGTGATGTCTTATTCAAAGCGACTCAACAATTATATGCTGAAACTGCGTGTATATTATGCTAAAGAAACAAACATTAAAATCTAAAAACACGTAACCAACTCATCAGAATAATTCAATAAGTCCCCCAATTAATTAAATTAGTGTTTCAGATCAAGATATCATCTAGGCGAAAATGTCTAATCAGCTCCTAGTTAATCGTCGAAGTAGCCGTTTTCCACGATTTTGCTCCAAAGAGCAAAATAACAAAACAATCTCTATTTCAACGATATCGCAAATATTTTGGGGACTTAATGATCAAGCGTTTAACGATAAGATATTTCAATCCGTTTCATAAACAAAGCACGTGACCGCTTCTTAGAATCTCTCATTGGAATACGCGTACTGAAGTAAAGTGACCAAGTCCCAAGTCGTAATTGACTCCACTGGAGCGTGGCTCCCATCAAAGCTGGTTTTCGGCGAAGCCTAATATGAGCCAGGCCGTTCCTTCGTAATTTAGAGGTTGTCAACCTACATGCCTTTATGTACCATGCTTTCACCAAGTTCAGCTTTCTATGAACAAAGAAACGAACAAACCCAAGCGCGAAATCCCATCGTATTTATGAAGGCCTAAACTTTTGCGCTAGCCTATTAGAGTTCTGCGAGGATCGTATAGATTCCAATTAATTCCCCTTAAACTAGTTTGCCTGCCCCATTATCGAGCAGCCAAGCGCTGGGCCCCGTGAAGACCGCAGCCTTAATTTCGAAAGGGGGCTGCATTTCCATATGAATGCGAAGCGCGCGTTTCTGGAGCTCTCCATTCTCTGGAAAACACGACGGGTGCGCGCTTTCTGGACCGTTTCTACGTACCTTTGTATCCCTATGTAGATATGCTGCGGAAGATGACACTAGGTTTGTTATTACATCCGAGCCTGAGGAAAAGCAACTATCTTCACTTGTGCGATAAGTTTGAGAGAATGACATTCGTCTGATGAATAATTACATTAATTTTTAATTCCCTCGCAGATATGGGCTTGCTTTTCCTGTTGTTTTGTGGTTGCAACTGAACAGAGAGTTGCGAGAAGATTGTGTAGCAATACAAGGTTTCTTTACTTCCTTTCTGGCCTTCAGTTGATCTACAACGGGGCTCTTGACTTGCCTGAATTTGAATTATGATAGTTATTTTCTATAGGCTGTTCATTTACACGTACACAGGTCATGTATGAGACGTTAGATCATTCTTATGTCGCCTTCTTCATTTCATTGAGGTGTTCAAAGGCGGTGTATTGCAAATTATAACTCGCTAGTAATTTTTTTTGCCTTATGTATGGGCATCCGTCGTAAGGCTGCTCAGGTGCTTGGGGACAATATTAACAATAATTAACTGATTTATCTCTTAAATATGTGTTTCCACATTTGATATCCTTCCCAAGTTGCGGAACTGTACCATAGGCTCTGGAGTATATTAAAAATACAAATTAAAACACTGGTTATCTTTTTTTTTTTACTAACAGATACTTTTCATAGTGCGGTATTACTAGTGGTATGAGTTAATTAATTGTGCTGCAACTCTATAAGTTCAAGAATAACCTGCTGTTGTGGTAAGTTGGCACTGCAGTGGAAGTTATGCGTTCTTGTTGTAAAATCAAACTTCATGATTAAAGCCGGGGTCACACAGCTTATACATCATAAAAAAGCAGCCTGCATAAACATTCGAAACGTAAGTCACCACGAGATCCCTGCTTCAAATGCCGCATGGCAGTTAGCCTTAGGAGAAGCTTAGGCACGCAACATTCGAACCACGAATATTGCGGTGACTCGTGTTTGCTGACGGTCTTGTATGTGATGTATGAGCAGTTCGACCCCGGCTTAAAAATACACTGCCATCTTGACGGTAGGGTTGGTCGCGGCTGGTTGGCCCGGACATTGTGCTTAGGGCAGCGGTTTGGGTACCTGAAGGTCGAAGCCATGAGATATTTGAAGAGTCAAATAAGTAAAGATGCATCATTATACGCTAAGCCTTAATAAACAAACAAAAATCCTAATTTTAATCGCCACCCCTTCGGTCTTTCACAGCAACGGATTCTTGACTGTCACGTGGCCTAGTAATTATTCCGACTTGGTGCGGGTAAGGACCACTAGGTAGCACTCGCTGCGCGTTGTTTACATTGTCAATGTACTACATTGTGCTTATATTACGTAATTTTAAAAGTTGAAGAATCGCTTGTTTTTAAAGCATTGACAACACCCAGTATGCTTTTGTTCTTTGGCCTCAGTTTCATAGTGGCAGACCGCTGCAATCTCAAAAGGACATGCTTTCAGGTTACTCTGTTTCGACTTTTTTGCATTGGTACATCTGGAGGACTTCAGTGCTTAATTTGTCCGTCGATGTCTTCCCCGCAGGGTGCCTGGGCGTGACGATACGGCGTCTGTCCGTGCCGCGCTGGGTGCGCAACGGAACTGACACTCCGGTGGTGCTGGACTGCGAGTACGTGTACAACGAGAACGACCTGAAGCTGGTGGTCAAGTGGTTCTTCAACGACGGCCTGGAGCCCGTGTACCAGTGGATCCCGGAGATGAAGTCCCGGGAGGCCTTCGGCGTGCTCCAGGGCCGCCTCGATCCCTCGTTCTCGGTGAACTCGAGGGACGACTACTCCCAGTACCGCGCCATTCGAATCCTGAGACCCACGAGGGAGCTGAGCGGCAAGTACACCTGCGTCGTAGCCTCGCTCGCTGGGCAAGACGCAAGGCATCAGGACATGACCGTCTACGGTGAGGACCATACTATTTTCTGACAAACGTTCGGTTTAATATTAAAATATTTTAACACACAATTCGTTTTAGGGCTGCAATTTATTAAAAACAAAATTCACATTCGACTGCGAACAAAAAGTGTTACACAGCCTACAGGAGGAAATTCATAAGCCGCCAAATCACACAGAACGCATACTTAGGCAAAAAATAATCACGACCAGGAACCAATAATAAGATCCAGCATAACTTACACAGGAGCTCAACGCATACTGAACTCGAGACCATGGGATCCGCAATCCGGCGTCTTTGCTTGACACCATTTGTTTTTTCTTGGCGGCTTCGCTGTTTTATTTACATGATGCGAGCACTATATACCTGATTAAAATACAGTACGACAAAGGCAGCGCACGGCGAGGCCATTTAACAGCATAGGTTCAAGTCCCTTGTCACATTCAGTGGCTTTGAAGTTCCGCACTTATATCCTCCGATTTCGAGGCGCCTTCGTCACTTTAAAACGCACTTCCAAATCAGCCCATCCGGCCATTTTGAAGTTGCACACCTCAGCAGTGAGGCAGCTCGTAATCGCGAAGCCTGCTTCAAAGTGACGCCATCCTGGTCTTCCTCCTTTGAAAACCAAGAGGTGATAAGTGCGGAACTTTCAGTTTGCGTGCAGTTCAAGCATTCCAAGTACGTCCAAACAATTACTGTCACGGCCTGTGCCAAACTCAAAGAGCTTCCCGCTGCGCCAGTCCATGTACAATTCAACCTGTAGTCTGAAGCGTAGTTCCGCCTAGAATAACTCGGCGTTCGAGCTAAAAATAAGCACATGATGGAGTTTCTGGCGGGAGAAATAGTGCACTGTTGACATTCAATCCACGGAACAAAAAAGCCCCTCTTTTCCCGCCATTCTTTACTGTCAGCACCTCGGCGTGAAAAGAAATGAAGAAGTCTATTGCGGCTTTCCGAAATTTTGCTCGGTACCAAAGGATGAGCTGAAAGTGAGCGCAAGCAGCTCGACTAAGTACAGTGCCACCGTCGCCTGCTATAGCTCGCGAGTCTCCACGGTGAGTGATATTTAGTCTAGCATACTTAGTCTCCAGACGACTGTCGACGGCGAGCTGTACTTAGTCCAACATGCATTTTCGCACATGACCGTTGGCGGACAGTTGTACTTAGTCCTTACTAAGTCCGCAGGCAACTGCCGGCGGTGAGTTATGCATAGTTTGTTATATTTCGTCTGCAAACTAATTTAAGCGGCAAGTAATGCTTAGTCTTATGTTTAGCCCGCAGGCACCGCCTTCGCTCGCAGCATTCGGCAGCTTGTTTCCTAATGCCGAAGTATGAATCTCCACATGAGTTCACGTCATCATGATGGGGATCATAACATGCCAAGAGATAGCGGAGTAGGCGCATGACGTCATACCTTCAGACAGCCGCCAATATACAACGTATATGGTGCGATGTTCCTTCTTCTCTCGTGACCGTTTCAGATGCCAGGAGTTCCTCGCAATCCAACTTCACTGAGAAATCAAGGCCCTACAGGCACACTCACAAGAATTAGAACCCGCCTAAAGCTCCTCATTAAAGAATGCGCTTGACAAACCACTTATTTAAATAAATACATGCTGGCCATCATCGTTCTAAAAGCAAAAATGTTAAACACAAGATCACGTCTGTGTGCAGTGCATCCGAACCCACCCAAGGTTCTCCGTAACCAAGAATCTATATCATAACACATGCATAATCCACTCACAACACATTCCGTGCTCCACTGGTCTATTAGTATGATCAAGACGACTATTTTTTTTACATAAAAACACTATATAGGTTTGTAGCGTTTTTGAATTACTGAAAAAAATCAGTTCCTGTAGTTTACGTTTCTAAATAAATATGTTTTCAAACCGGGCAATTTTAGTGAGCATTAGAAGAAGTATGATGTCCATAACCTTGGACTTCAAGCCTTTCATATTTCAGTTTCGGGAAATATGTTTTATATAAACTTATTTTCCATTACAAAAACTCATTTCACGTGAGCAAATAATCTAAATTGCAGCTTCGAACCAAACTAGTATTGAAATGTTTTCTACTCGTTAGTATGTTAATATCAGCAATCTCAGCTCGTGCCCTTACATACGTTGGCACATTTTAAATAAACAAAGAACGCCAAAATATCAAGAGAACCAAAACGAAAGTAGTAGAATACACATAGAGTGCTGACATTTAATAAATGAATAAATTAATCGGTGCACTTGTTGTCTATAGGATAAGAGTCAACGCGTAGACGACGTTGTGGTAGGTTACTCATGTGTTCACTTTCCTTTCGATATGGTTCATCACGTCCTTCTCCTTCACAAACTTCGTAGCCTTATGATATGCACATACGCTCGCGCTTGTATAAACTTCTTTGTAACTTACCGCATCTTCTTTGTTTATGACAAAAGTGCTAAATCTTCATCTTCACGGGTTAAGTCCGGTGTCGCACAAGGTTCAGTACGAGGTCAACTTTTCTTTTTTATTTATAATAATCATCTTCCTATTCGTGTCTCCTCTTCTATTAGAATTTCCGCGGACGACTGTGTTGTTTACAAAAAAAATCATTAACGATCTTGACACTTATACAAAGCAGGCCGATAATAACAATCTTACCCAATGGTGTGATGACTGGAATGTGAAGCTTAACATAAAAGTAAATCTACGAGTCTCTATAAACATGACGCTTGCCTATTGTACTTCGTCAATAATTCTATCCCCCGGAGTGTGCCCTCCTATAAATACTTCAATGTTCACATAACTAACGATCTTTACTAGAAAACTCGTGTCGTCTACGTCCCTAACAACGCTGATGAAATATAGGGCTACATCATAAGGATTTTTTTAACTTGCCTCCGTTTCATTACTATTTCTTATGTATAAAGCTTTAATTCGTACTAAACTTGAATAAGCAGCTCTAATCTGGAACCCTGGAATCTGCTTTCATATGCAGTTGAGTACATCCAAAATTGATCCGCTCATGTTATACTTTCTGACTGTCAACGCACAGCGAGCATTAGCTTTACACAATTATACTTCTTTGTACCTTACCTATCTCTTCGTAGAAAATATCTCGCGAATATTTGTTTTAGGTGATTTATTCCTTTTACCGAACACCTCGCCAAGCAGTGTTTTCAAAACAGTCTTACATATCATCATGTACCAATCATTACCTGAATGTTATAATTTTTAATCGCAGCACATCTACTTTTGTTCCTTCATTCCAAAGCTCACTGAAGTCGAATCGTCATCCCGCGGTCATAGTTTTAGTTACTTACACTGCAGACCTCAGAATTGCAGTTAGTAACTTGTTTAACAATGTGTAGTACCAAGTTTGTATTTTGCCTTTATAATGACTGTTTTCCTTTTACTGTTATGTTCATGTTACTGCGCCTACTCCTGTCTGTAATGCAATCTGGAGTTTAGAAAAATTTTAACGAAAAGAAATACAATTTGGTTTCCCTATCTTCGCGGTATTTCCCCATAAGATATTTTTAAAGAAATTGGGTCTCTAAATGTGCCTTTCTAAATGTGCCGGGTAATGGGTGCTGATTACGGCGCATCATTGTTCCGCGTAAAATGATACTGGATGCAATTGAACAATGTTAAGCTCAACTGAAATCAAGTTTTTACAAGCGAAAAAATCCGCTGTGCATTTTGCCCGTTAGCATTCTTCATAGAACACCGAAATACAGGGAACGCTGTATACACAGGTAAAAAATATATGTTTGGAATAAGTTTGCTAGCAAGCAATCTATATAAGTTTACTCGGTTTGACCGGAAATAGTTTTAAACAGCCAAATTTTAGATTTGGAGTATCGTCTTTTTTATGATAAAGCAAGACCACGTTCTTTGTGATATAATATGTACTACTCAAGGTCCCCAAAATATTCTCCTTATACGAAGCGAATGAAAGCTAGGCTCAAGAGGACACGCATATATGGCTATATTATATGCTTATAATATGGTAGATAATGGTTGACTTCACCTATTGTGTGACGAATACAGCGTATAAACAATATGTAAATTGGATAATTTTTCACGGCTATTTGACTAAGTTGATACAATATTTTACGAACTAAATTTAAACTATTCGCAGAACCTTCAGTCAATAGGAAAAAAGTTAAGCATTTAGCGAAATACTAACCAGATCCGGTATTAGAAAACGAAAGCTAACACGGATGATAGTGGATGATTTAGACTGCTAAATTTCACCTATTGGTCCTAAAACTTGAAGTTTTAAGTGTTCAAATTGTTATTGCTACTGTCTTGTATTTGGGAGAGGCAGGCAAGACAATTCCTTTTGAAAGGCAGTCATCTTCCTAACCAGATTTTAGTAGACGAATTTTATTATTCAGAACTCTGGCCTACTCTTTGAAAGGGACAAGGATGCGTCCAGGCAACACATATGGCCCTAAACTACTAATTATATGCTATTCCCTGACCTGAATAAAGAATGAACAAAACACAACATAAAATAAAACATTAAGAACGAACAATTACGTTAGGGTTTTGATACAAAACGGTGGCAGAGAAAGCGAGGGAGAGAAAAAGACTGCGCTTTTCCTGAAGGTTAACCAGACGCCCCCGCTTAGCGATAGAAGGACATTAGAGCCATAATTACGCCGGGAACCGATAATTGAGCCGGCGACACAGAACGTGTCGCCGAGACTACAATCCGGACGACGCAGAACGACTGCGGACCCACCGGCGGGAGTGCCATTAGCTCCAGATTTGCAGAGCGCTGTTGGCGACGACGACCCACGCAGATCCCAGTCGGCACGCGTCCACATCTCGTGCTCTGCGCTTCTCCGCTCTTTCCTTCTTCGAACTCCCTCCCTTCTCATGACTTGGCCTGGTTAATCTCTCACTCTAAGTCACGCGCGCGGGGGGCTGCCATCCTAAAGGATTTCCTTTGAGTACTGCCAGCTCCTCCTAAAATAATCAAAGCCTGTGCACTAGCATTTAGACGTCATCACAGGGAGATT